TGGTGAAACCTCTTCTAATCGGTTCGGTAGATTTGATGAACCAGTTCTACCGAATAGGTGCGAACTGGTGGGAACCCACCTCTGATATGGAAGTGTATTAATTTGTGTACTAACAACTTGGGTACCATCTAAACATGGCCAGCGAATTGTCCCAGGTCTTCTTTGAACTTGGTCATGTAAAATCCGTGTTCACAGGTTAACTTTATAAATGATTGAGAAAATTAAGATTAGTGGCAAGAAAGGTCTAGCAGCTAGAGAATAGATCTGTTCTGAAAATTAGAAATATAAACAAGGTCAAGAAGAAGCATAGCTAAGTGGTCATATATATAATTTGGACAATGATTCTGAAAACATGCACAAAGTTCTTTTCCACGATTCACCAAGCCTAATGTCAAGCCAAAGAAGCTGGAGTAACATATAGATCATCCTGATTGTTTTATACTTTTTAGGTGTACATTTTTTTTAATATAACAATTTTCTCTGCGTATTTTGTCTCCAAATTTAGTGTTTGATAGGCAAAACTACTAGCTGTAAAAACATGCATGTCCCATAGCAGAACATTTGTAGGTTATCAGTGAGAACTTACAGAATAGCTTTATTCACCCCATCTCACCCTTTTCCTCTCATTTGTACACTCTTGGAATGGCTGCAGAAGGTCTATATTGTTGCCAAATTGGGCCTCAGAGGAACCTACTATCTGATTTGCATGAAAGACAGACATGAATATTTAACTGCCTTTGATTCTCGTTATCAGAAGTTTGATTATACTGTAATAGCCTTTGGACTGGTTAAAGCCCCATTAGATTTCATGTGATTTATGACTCAGAGTTTCCACAGTTTGGAGACAAATTTTTGATTGTGCAGGTCATAGGTCATCCCAATAAGGGATATTGGCAACAGGGCAAGAAATAGCGCCTTGAGTACAAAAGGTGGATTTATTGTGTAGTTAAGTACAACATATACAGAACACTTCTTTTTTGCATCAAATACTTTCAAGTAAAAGAGGAAGGAACAAATTCTGAGAAATTGAAAAGGTTGTGGTTTACAATGATACTGTTAGATTTTGTTTTACCTTATAATCTCTTCCTGTACTTAATCGCCTTTTTCTGTACCTGAACATCTAATCCTTTATTGTTCACAGCTTAACTCTGTGGTTTTTTTTTCTATGATACAATCTCTTTTCTCTCTTCCTGCTTCCTGTTTTCCAGAAACATTTGTTGTGCTGGCCTCAGCTTCTTCTGAGACCTGGGTCAGAAGTTGGTTGCCCTCAATAGGACAGGGATTGCTTGTCTTCTGCTGTTATATAATGTCACTCGTCTCTCTCTGAGCCTTCACCTTTCTCTCAATGGCCTCTGTGGAAATTATTCTCTGGTTGAATGGCAGAGGAATTTCTTTTGGCAGCTTGCTCTGGCCTTTGCAGATCCATTCATTTGCCTTCCATCCCCTTCTTTAGGACCTAATAAAGTTTGCCCCAGCTGACCTTAATTCTTCATTCAGTTCACAAGTGAACAATGGACCTTTATCCATTACTCTGTCCTTATTTAAGATACATCTTGTATATGCATAAACTTCAACAATAACCAAACACATGTTTTTAGAACATGTTCATATCAAAGTGTTTTCTGAACCAGGATGGAATAATGGAACATTTGTCAGCATGCAGTGCATAAATATTTAGTTGAAACTTCAATTTGGTTTCACCTCATAGAACCTCCCTTGCAGTTCAGCCTGCCTAATTTTCTGATGCATGATATACCGTGTAAGATTCCAAATGCGATGTTGCTGTAAAAAGAGAATGTATAAAATATGAAAAGACTTACCATCTTAGAAGGAAATGCACTGGGTAAGATAAAAGACAAGTTGAATCTCTTGGAAATAATAAGAAGAGGTACAGATGAACAATGTAGTACAATTATAATTAACAAGACAGAGAAGGAGATGAAGTTAGTGACTATCAGTCATTGCAATACTAGCAACAGGTCAAAGCAGATATGCAGTTGGGTTACATGAAAGGGAATCTTGAGATGATGAACTTTGACTATAAATATGACTATCCAATGAGGAAATAAAGAATAGTTGAGGACTTCTAAAGCCTTTACCTATCACAACCATTTCACTGGTTGAGTTCATTTCTGATCTTGGAGATCATGGGTTGACAAACCATTACATTCAATTCTGCCTATGAATTATGGATGGTACTAAGTTAGCTGAAAATCTAGGGAAAAAACAACTGCTCCTTTTGAGTCTGGTTTTATAGATTACATTTTATTTGATATAAATTGTATTTATTTATTTACAAGCAAGAAGATGACCCAGGTTAAAACCAGAAAACTGTAGACCTTTAGATGTGGTTGGATTTTGGCTTCCTTTCTCTTGGCAAACAACATCTGGAAAATCATCGTGCAACTATTATTGAGTTGATGATAAATTGTTAAAAATATGAGTTTCTTTAGTATTAACTGCATGATTTTATTTTAGATATGTCCAATTGGCAATTATGGGTCATAGGAATCTTTAATGATTAATTGTTGGAGTTGTCATTTTAAAAAAGCAAATACAAATTAAATCAAATGTTCTGGCCCTTGTTGTAAGGAATCAGACCATTTCTTTGTAACTTCTGAATGTCATACATCACAATCAAAGGGTTGGAAGGGAACTTGGAGGAGACAATATGTAAGTCTAAGAGTCATATTGTTATAAATTTGTATGATACAATCCTCTTGCATGTTTAATATGCTCAGGATGAGTTAGTCATTAAGGATATAGTCTGTCTCTTCCCAAGGAGTCAGCTGACATGGAAACTTCATTCATTTTATTTCTACAACCTTATGTGATATATGGGATGAGAGAAAGTCAGTTTTTGTGGCCGAGGTCAGTTTTTGTGGCTTTAGTATGCCACTCATTAATGCATGGGTGTGAGAGTTAGATACTAAGAATGGATGATCGAAGAAGAATTGGTGCTTTTGAACTGTGGTGCTGCCGTAAATTGCAGCAGAGTAACTAACAGGAGGTGTTAAATTGTATAAAATCAGACACATCGTCAGAAGCTAAAATCATAAATCTATCAGTGATTTTCTTTGGCCATGTTATGCGTGTGAATTCATTGAAGAAGGCAATGATGCCAAGAATGGTTAGTGGACAAAAAAGAAGGGGCAAGGAAAGAACATGCTGGCTTGATAACATCAAATCTGATGGCAAATTGAAAATACAATAATTGAAAGAAGCTGTGCTTGACAGGGTAGCATGGAGAGCACTTCCCTATAAAGTCACAGAGTCAGACACAGCTAAACAGTTAAAAACAAACAAACAATGCTCATAATCCAACATCTTAAGCACTGTAGCATATGAGTCATTAGAATTTTTTTCTTTTAGAAAATACTGTTTTTAGAAATCATTCTTCATTGATCTTTCAATTTAAAAAGCCCCCCCCCCCGTTTGTCCTTCCAATACATTAGATATAAAAACTTAGGTATCCAAGCAACACAGCCAAAATGTCTGTAAAATCCTGGTTACAATTTCTTATTGTTCCATGTCATATTCTTTATCTCGCTTTCCTATATTTTTCCACATCTGATTGTAGAGCAAGGCAGTAATGGTACTTTAAAAAGTTAATCACATTTATTAGCATAGTAGTTTGGTTGTTAAACCAATTAGTAATATTTTCCCATTTTGCTTCATATAGCAAATAGCATATATCTTCTAACTGCCTATCAATATGTACATGCATATTAATATAGAATGTGCTTTTTAAAATACACACATACACACACATGCTGCCACTAGTTATTTGGCAATATTTCTCATAAGGAAATCATGCCAAATTATTCTCCTTTTAGTGTGAAATATAAGAACATTATATATTTGGATTACAATTCACAATCCATATCTACTATATATAATGTAATATAACATAACTATAATTGTACAACTCCAAATTATACAGTTGTTATAGATACAGCTTAGATATTGGAGAAGAAAATTTATTTAATTTGGCCATTTCTGCTGTTTGTTTAATTTTTATCTTAGATGTTTACATCCATGTTTAATGTACTATTCTGACATCTTATGACTTCCTGCATATTGAAACACGTTGGTTAAATAAAAAAAATCTTTATTTTATGAACCTCTATGCTTATTTGTGTATATATATAAACCAAACAAATAATTCCAGAAAGCAAAATCATAATGAAATCATATTCACTATTAAAATGTTAAAACCCTAAATATTAGTTGAAACAGCAATGAACTATTAAAACACCACTAAAAGCTAATTTGAAAAAATACAAGTTGATACTTTTCTGAAAATAGAACATTACAACTCCCAAGAGAATCTATACTGAACTTTTGAAATAACTCAAAGAAAACTGATTCTTACATATAACAGGTGGAATTTTGAATGTGAATGGCTTCAGTAGTATATCCCCAACAGTTTCCACATTACATGGAAAAAAGTGCTTTAGATAGCCATGCTGAAAACTGTTTTGTCTATAAAGGTTAAAGTCTTGAACTGAGAGACCATTTGACAATAAGGCATTTGACAATATATAGCTTTTTCAATATCAGTATCATATGACCCTGTAGCTGTAGTTGTACGTAAAGCATATTACAGCATCTAAATGTTATGTAACCAAGACAGGGAAAGCTGCTGTTAACTATATGTGTGTTTTGAAAAATTAAAAAAAAAAGGAAAATGAGTCAATCTAAGTTTGCTAATATGTCCTGGGCTTGCTAAAGATAGATACAGTATTTGTGTAAAAACCTCTTGGGTCTTACTTATTTGGTCATGACACAATCGATAGCAGCCTTCTCCAAATTGTCCCTTCCAGATGTGTAGGGACTGTATCTCTCAGAATTACCAGCTGCTATGAACAAAGGATATTACAAGCCAAGCAGACTGGATGTTTTGGTCTCTTAACATCTGGAAAGGGCTGTGCTATGAAAGAATAAAAAATGACATCTAAAATTCAAACACATATTTTTTTAATTTCAATTTCTTCTAGAGGCTGATTTGAGCAATCTAGACAGCATGCTGTACCTATTGAAAGATGAAATAAGTTCTTCCAGGAAGAGGAGGAGATACCCAAGACACGCGGCTGACGATGACTACAGCATTGAAGTGCTTCTTGGAGTTGATGACTCAGTTGTACAGTTCCATGGGAAAGAACATGTTCAGAAGTATCTTCTGACTCTGATGAACATTGTAAGTAACTTTTCATTTTTTAGTGCCAGAGATTTGATTGAGTCCAATTGGATTACTTAACAGGTCTTGCAAATCNAAATGTGCAGCAGAATGTATGGGTGTTGCATGCAGAGGGTTAAAGGTCTGGATGCCAATTTCCCCCAAAAAATCTTAAGTAGAAAATACTAGGAAGAATCTTTTTGAAAGAACTGGGGATGCTGTTTGAAGACAGTGCCAGGCAAGAGGGTCAAATTCTCTAACAAGATAGATGATAACTTCCTTATATTCATATGATCCGCAGTCAGGATCCAGTATGGTTTAAAATATTTGTAATTGACTTGCCTCTGTTCTGCCTGTTTGTTCATGAATTGATTGGTTATGAATATGTGTTGAAAAGTTGCACTTTATAGCCCACCTTGAGGGGAATGCTGGAACCTGTCTGTGGAGCATAGGTTCAGGCATGTTTGAACAGGTAATGATAACAATGTAGTCTTATCTCTCCCATTTTAACTGCCATCATGTTTCTTCTGCGGTATCTGGGGAGTTGTGCATTGCTAAACCTACTGAGGATTATCTGTTTAGAAATCCACAGCCGTCCTCTGCGAATTGCAACTTTCTTAATTCTCAGGGGAGATTAAGTAAGTATTAAAGGTGTTTAAATCAACAGGGTAATTATGCTCCCCTTGAGAAAACAACATTAAAACAACTATCAAAATATTCTTCTGCAGCTAATCACTTTAAATATAAGTACTTCAGTATTATTGTCTGTATGTCCTGATGTCAGGTGAAACCAACCCAATCCATATTTGTAGAATTCAAACTACTTTATTGTATTCTGCCTATAATACAGGAATTACCCCAAACTGCTTGCCTTCCCTTGGGAGCAGATAGATAAGGTTGAGGGGGGGGGGTGTTGGTAGCAGTGCATCTCTTGTGGCAATGCAAGGATTCAAGTCTAATTCCCTGCTTGAGTCCTTTCCCAACACATGCCTTGGATTGGAGGGAGGGGGAGGGAGGGAGAGGGGGGGATGATGACAATAATTTTCATTGAAATAAATTTCATGGCCAAACATTATTTCTTGATCTTTTTAACCTGGCATCAAGCTGCACATTGTTTTATTTGAATGAACACCATATATTTGCAAAATGATTGTAAATTTATTGATTTCTAAATTGAATGCTAAGGAGAAATGAGATCGGTGACATTAGTCTTCTACAAACGTTGGTGTATGGTACTAAGCTGCAGTTTAACACAGCCAGGGGACATCAGATTCAGGAACGGGGATGCAAAAGGTTATTAGTGAGCATGGTGAATCCTGGAGTAAACCTTCAACTCAAAAACACAAGCACACAGACAGACATAGACACATGCCAAAGCATGGGAAAAGGAATTTTCCCAATCATTTCTGTTTATTGTAAATTTGTTTGCTTCTGGAATCCCTGTGGAGCAAATTCTCACTGTTTCTGGACAAAAACTCTTCTTACGTAATATTATTCTCAGTCTAGGCAGGGAATTGACTTTTTCTTTTTACCCAGAGCAATTTATCTAGTAGCCATATATCATACATCTAAGACCGCTGTGTTATTCAAGGACAATCCAATGGAAGCCCTCCATATTTTTAGGCCAATTCTAAGANTTATAGAGCCTTTATTTAATCCAGTTTGTAAACTCTTCCAATTTATTTTATTACTTTTCCACTCTGAATTTTCCCAGTCAGGCAAATACAATATGCTTCTCTTGGGAGTATACAGTAGGTGGGGAAACCTCACAGATCTTATATAATATATTGATCTTCAAGCTAGCATTCATGGTTTTCCAACCATGACTGGGAATTTGGAGAATTACAGACTTAATCTGTAGTATTGTAGGATAGTAGGTCAGGGCTAGAGCATACTGGCTCTCCATATGCTTCATTTCTATAAATTGTAAATAGTCATTTACTAATCATGATAGCCTTCTATCAACAGATTACATGATCTGGAGGCTGCAGGGGAGGTTGATGGAAATAGTGTTTATACATACTTTTCGGGTTTTTTTTGTTTTTGTTATTTTGGTGCTGTAGTTCATAAGCAAAAGTTGAGGAGGCCAAGTAGCCTGAGGGAGGAACTCAATAAATTATAAATTGGCCATGAATCCAGAAGACAGTCTGTAGCCTCTGACAGCCAATGTTGCTGTCACAGAGAAGGCAAAGCATTCCAGACTATTCTGCTTCTGCCAAGGCATCTAGTTTATGGATTTTTTTTAAAAACAAAGTTTGATGAGCAGCTGATAGGATGATTTGTTAGAATGTTTACAGAACAGTCATGAAAGCAAAAGTAATGTGGTCCACTGAGATTTACGTATATTGTGCAGGTTTCTGTTGAGAACTGTTATGTTCTTCCATGCAGGAAAGTCTACCTTCCAACTGAAAATAAAAATTAATCTGTCCATGAAAATCTGCCTTCTATTAGGACAAAATAGCCCACTTTGTCCTTCCAGATTGGCCAGGGCTCTCCAAAACCTGAAGCACAGGGTTTTTTGTTTAATCTNTAAAAAAAAGTAAACATGCCCTCAAACAGAGCTTAGTTCATGGTTCTTCCATCCATGACTTGGCAAGGTCATGGAACTGGTTTAGGCCTAAAAATTTGCTTCTGCTGCTGCTGGCATATCTCTTTCCCCAGATAGGCAAGTACAAAATGTTTCTCTTTTGAACTAAAGCTGGGACTATAAGTAATTGTCCCAGACTCTGAACAGCATGTTAGAGCTCTATCATACCATAGACAAGTCCCAGTTCCTCTCACATCTTCCTGCTGTCAGAGTCATGCTCTCAAATATATTTGCTACTTGTGGTCCCTCAGATCAAGGAAGGGTAGAATAAACTAATAAATCTCTGTAGAATCAAGTTACTTGGAAGCAATTTTTTTAGTTCACACCCTCCCTACTTTGATATATCAGTTCAAGGCACAATATGTAAGAATGTTTCTTTCTCTGGATGCTTTAATACAGCAGGTTTTCTGAAAGAGAGGAAGGAAGGAACAGCAGGTCCTGGTTTGATAACAAAAGACAGGAATGCCGGCTTTCTCTGACAGTTTCTCTAAATTCATAAAATAAAATCTAAGCTGCTTTGAGGAAAAGAAGATTATGAATGATACATATTTTCCCTAGTTTTTTTTTTGGCAGAGTCACAGTTGAAAACCATTTCCCTGAATTCTGAAGCCATAGAAATATTATCAATAATATTTAAAAGAAGAGATTATCTCTACTCTTTTAAAATTATAAGGCAACTTGCTGATTAAGGGGACCTAATTGGGCATTCAGCTATTAGCAGCAGTGGTGGAAGATGGGAAAACTGCACAAATCTCTCCTTGGCTGCCCAGTTTGTCCACAGAATGAATGGTGGGCTCCTTTCAGAGTTGTATGATTGTGCTGAGTCACCATCTCTGATTCTGTTCAGTCTCACTTGCTCTCCACCCTCCTTCCCTTCTCCACAATTCAGATTTTAAAGTAACCTATTTCCATCACACTAGGATAGACAGACTCCTAACACAGTAAATGATGAAGACTCTAATGAAACCTTTCTTAACTTGGATTTCTCCAAACATGAGGGACAACAAATGTGTTGTTGCTATCCAGTCTTCTGTTGAATAAGTTAAAAAAATGAAACCTATCTAATGATGCAGTACTTATTCATTGAAGATTTTAAAAGAAGAAATTGGACAACAATTTATCTGAAATGCTATGGGGTCTCCTGCTTGAGCAAGGGGTTGGACTAAAAGACCTCTAAACTCCCTGTCAACTTTCTGGGTTTGGTTTTTTTTTTTAATTCTGCTGGTGAAGTGCCTCAAAACTTGCCTTATACTATTTATACGTGACCCGTCAAAACCGCGCTCAACTAAGCCGCGCCCGATTAAACCGNAAATTTTGCCAAGAAAACTGCAAAGCTTTGTCCAGGCAGCTGCCAGAAGTCAGCAGTGACTTGATCCCAAAGTCCTAGCAGAATAACTTCTGGATGGCAGTCAATTCTAATATGTCTACTTGTAATTTTCACAAAAGAAGGATAATGGTGGTCTATTCAGACCAATTATAAACAGCAGCATTAATGTAGGGTGACAGGATTCCAGCATGAGCAAACCCAGTGACATATGTGGAAGTGCCTTAGATGGGTCCATAAAAGAATATTACCAGATTCAGACAGGATTCAATCATCAGAAACCTATTTCTGTGTCTCTCAGTCAATCCTGTGCCTACCTTCCTTAATCCCTTTCATCTTATCCAGCAGTGAGCTCTGAAAAACCCAGAAGCTTGCAAGTATTTTGAAATGTTCCATTTGTTTTAACATGAATCATTCTGGATTTGGTTTCCTCATGACCCTTATTGTTTTTAAAAGTATTAAATTTGCAACCTTAACCTGTCAGTCTCAGTTTATAATACTGAACCCAGTAATACGGCTGAATATGACCATGTAGGAACTAATCATTACATAGCTATACATCATAAAAGAAAGAGAAAGATTTCAAAAGGAAAACATTAAGAGAGATGTGAACTTTTTTTAGAATCACTTCCTACTCCACTACTGCATTGCATGTATTTAGCTTTTTTTTTCTCAATTATTAATAATAGAACCATTAATTTGCAATCTGAAATACAGAATTGTTGGTCTCTGGATTTTTTCCCCTTTACCATTAATCTGTCAAAACTTCAGCTGCTGAGGTTAATTCTCTATTCTGATTGTAATATATATATTAAGCCAGTTTTCTGGGTTCTTCCCTCATTAACTCAATAAAAAAAGATCAATTTATCATGATATTGTAGATGCTTGATTAGTATATTCAGTGTGCAGATGGACAGATCTTGGAGTAAGAATAAATTAGGAGCAGAGACTCTTTGTTAAATAAAATTTTAACATTTGTCTTTGCGTTGCATTTGAAGACTGCACTAATGTTATTAAAGACATTTAACTTGGTTGTGAGATTGAATGTATGTTTATGACTGTCTTCACATTTTTCTTTATACTAGTTCTTCCCTTGAAAAAGAATCAGCA